TTTGTTACTAATGAGGAATCTGCTACTTCTTCCTTTGAACCAGAATAGGAAGCTTCCATCACTTATGATCCCTTACCATCGGCACACCAGACCTGTTCAGGAACTACTTGATACAACCCCTGTTGTGGGGCCCCCTACTCGCACTCATTCTATGACAACAAGATCAATGGCATCTAAATCGGCTCAAGCTTTATTAGCTACTCATTATCCTCTTCTGGCTGCTCTACTTCATGATGTTACTACTCATGAAGACAAGCCCTCTTCCTACGGACAGAGCTAGCAAATCATGTTATACCTTCAATACAACATATATAAAGCCCTCAAAAGTGAAATTTAAACCACAACCCTAAGAATAGCCCTCTCTCAGAAGGGAAATTTAACTTGGTGCCACATTAACCAACATAGATACCAATCCCAAAGTTGCATGGCCCATCTCTTGAACCCACAGAATAAAACATAGCCTGATAGGTGATTCATAATTGTCAGATTTGGTTGCCCTAATTTCATGTTTGACTTCGCAACCAGGTGCATGCAGCCCCCATGAATAAAAAAGCACTGTTCCCACTTTTCTGGCAGGTCGATGCGGTAAATGGAAAGGCTCATATTTAACAGTTACAAATCACAAATCAGGCTGAATTTGATATGTGGATCCAAGATGCGGACTGATCGAAGCACAAAAAGATACAAAACCAGGTTGGGCACAAGGGAAAAAAACCGAGTCAAATACACACAATATTGCATCAGCAAAATGGCTGTCATCATCCTAACATGCATGCATTCTGCTTTTGTGCAGTATACCACCTAATGTGGACCCATAGAATATTGGGTCCCACCTTTCAAAAATATTTACAAGTTTTCTATTTGATGCACAGTCCTCAGGATCTTTTGTTATACATAAAATTTTATCATCTTAGTACTTTGGACATGTGGGGTAATTCCATGATCTGCCTTTGCACTTCTACATCTGGATTTAGAACAACAATGTGGCGATCAAACCGTCCAGGTCTCACTAGTGCTTTGTCGGGTGATTCTGGGAAGTTGGTTGCAGCAATCACAATATTAATCCCTTCGTTTTGTTTAATCCCGTCCAGTTATCAACAAGCAACTGATTCAAAGTCATCTTCAGGTACTGTTGGTCCTTGGGTTGGGGTTACGACTCCCTCTTTTTGCATCTATCTCATCGACGAATATGATACAGGGAGATCCCTTCTTAGTTGCAGCAAAAAGATCTCTTACTCTCATTCACTCAAGGTGTCAATTTGACTGGATTTGGTTCAACCCTGATTGAATCCAATATGATTTTACTTACAAATTGATTGCACCTAATCTAGTTTAAATCAAATCCAATCCAATCCATTAAAATGTAAATGGATCGGATTGGATCCAATCCAAACTGAATGAAATATCAAAAATTATATATAAAAGAACAGAACATATAAAAATTACAAAAATATATTAAAATGAAGAAATCTGAAAATTACAAAACTAAACCCTTTTGGCATTGAAAAAGCACTTTTTCAAAAGTGCTTTTGTAAAAGTACTTCCATAGAAGTGCTTTTATAAAAGTACCTTTGCATAAGTGTTTTTGTAAAAATGCTTCCGTAAAAGTTTGTTCATAAAAGTGCTTTTGTAAAATTACTTTCACAAAAATGCTTTTATAAAAGTGTACTTCCATAAAAGTGTTTTTATAAAAGTATTTCCGTAAAAGTTCTTTTCTAAAAGTGCTTTCGTGTAAAAGTACTTTTATCAAATTGCTTTCGTAAAAGTGCTTTTATGAAACTGTTTCTATAAAAGTGATTTCGTAAAAGTATTTTTTTGTAAAGTGCTTTCGTTAATGTATTTTTCACAATTTTACTTTTCTAAAAGTGCTTTCGTAAAAGTACTTTCATAAAAATGATTTAATGCCAGATTCAGTTTTGATCAGTTTCAAATTGGACAGGGGATTGGCCTCATGATTAGATTATTGGAAATTTGGTTTACGTTCAATTCAGACCAATAAGAATATGGACCGATTTATTTTGGATTGACCCAATCCAATAATTATATAGACCGATAAAATTTAGACCGGATTGAATCCAACCCAAAACCAACCGGTTGACGCCCCTACTTATAAATATTACAGTTGTTGATCTTGATAACCAGTGAGTGATGGTGGGGTTGAGCTAAGCTGGTGGCTGAGGCCCAACAGTTGAGAGTTAACAAACACAGTAATGGACAACCAAGGATGGGCGAAAGAGGAAGGAAAATACCAACAATGATGCCATGAAGGAGCACGGATCCAGTTCCAGTACTCATAGTTAGTACGTACAGGGACCGGCCGGAGAAGACAATTCCTCTTCACACCTCATCCACCTCGATCGGCTTTTGTTTGTACATTGTAATCCATCCATCATCGAAAGAAAATTTGACAACCGGCGGTAACAGTGGTCGATGATTATTTCACTGCTGGTTTGTCTATCTTCCTGGCCTAGGTGGGAGTGGGACCCAATAAAGGGAAACATCTGCATGTGCATTACGATGCGGTAAGCTCAGTCTGCTCAGAGAGAGAGAGAGAGCGCTCTAACCTCTAAGTCAAAGACGATAGATAAATGCAGCATTATTATAAGAAGCTCAGTAAAAGCATCAACGTAGTAGGTCAACTGGTCTTCACCCTTTAAATTTCACCCTCATGAGTCATGAGAGAGAGAGATGTCACCATCCTTTGTTTGTAAATGGACGAGACAAAAAGCATCAAAGGCTCAAAAGGACGGGTTGGGACATTAGGTTTTAGGGTTTGGGATGCGTGTATTTTGCCCGCCAACCTCGCTATTGGGGGTCAGGTAGCAGCTGTCTCCACCTCCCAAGTCCCAAACCCATCTCATAACTCATAATACGCTTTATTTGTATATTACTCACCGCGTACCTACCACTGGGCCGGTTGAGACTTGAGAAAGGGAGAGGGAGGGACATCAAAGTATGGAAAGCAGGAAAAGCAGGCTAGAATGTCACTTTGGTAATTTTGTACATATTTAATTTGCTTTTTACTCTCTCTCTCTCTCAGCTCAGGCACTGAGGCACACCTGCAACAATTGGATGGATGTTGACAATATAAAGATTTTCATTGTTAGCTACATAAAGTGATGAACACAAACAAAATATCAAATAAGTTCAGAGTGCAGAGGAATCTCTTGTTTTGTTATTTCAATTTGAAAACAACCAAAAAAAAGTCACTGTCGTCGTCCTTCACTCCTCGTTTCTAGCCCTTTGTCTACAGCTGAATTGATTGGTCAAGGCTCAAAACCTAGAGTTGGAGTTGGTTGAGCACACCGCAGGAGGAGGAGGAGTAGGAAGCAGGTGCATCAACTCCTTTGTTACCAAACTCCACCCCAACTAGTTAGAGAAGAAGCAAATTAACCAAGGATCATACAAGTTCTCTCTCTCTCTCGATCAACAACAAGCAAATTAACCAAAATCCCTATAAGCTTAATCAACCCTCCTCGGGATTGAATCCCCACCTGAGCCCACATACGGTATCAAACAGCAACTCTTTTCTTTTTGGTTTTGCAAGTAAACGACATTTGCTGGAACCATGCAAAGGTGACCATATATATATATATATATGACAATTCAAGAATCTCTCATGACAGCATCTGATAAACCTTTTGCTTGAATGCCCAACCATCGTATATTCACAACTTTAATGGCGGGTGAGTAGTATTCAGTCTTTACAACTTTACATTTCATATATCTAATATCATTGGGTAGTGCACCTCATTAAATTTTCACTTTTTGCCAAACTGTTATGGTGGTAACCAAAGGCTGTTTTATCCCATTTCTACTTGGAAACACAGGGCCCAACAAGGACAAACAAAAAGAGAGAGAAACAGTAGAAGACATGGTGAGGTTAATGGCATCAGATTAATTAAAGTTGGTCAACATAAGATTAGCAGTAGACAAGCATCAATGAATAGACAAATTAGGGGAGCTCCCACCACAAACTCTTCCCACATCCCTACCCACGTACAATATACTACACACGTGCATTGGGAATATCTCCCTTGTTATTTATGGGCAGGAAATGTTCCCAATACACGGTGGTAGTGTCTTGTGAGTGCAATATAATTTGAGAAAAGTTTGCACTCTAGCTGAATCTCTTATCCACAAACTTTTCCCACATCCCCCTACCCACAACACAACACACTACCGCTGTCCCTTGTTATTCCCATTGCATGCCCACCGATATATAGTGTCTTGTGGTAGGGAGATGTGAGAAGAATTTGTGGGTAAGAGATTTGAGCTCAAAAGTTTGGTAGGAGACTAGAGTGGAATAAGGGTTGTGCCCAACCCAACTCTCTATTTTGCAAATGAAACTTGAACAAGAGTACAAAAATATTGTCTATGTGCTTATTGCCCTTTTGGAAGTAGATATGGACCGGTTTAGCTGAACAGTTACTATATAACTAGAAATTAAACTGGCCCCAATTTACAAGCTGGGCTGGGGTTCACCTAAACCAGAAAATGGGCGGCTCTGATGCACCGACAGTCCACCAAGAAGCAAACAAATGAGAATAAGGAGGAGGAAAACAATGATAATAAGACAAATAATCTAATTGTTGATGAATTAATAGATTAGCTAGATTCTCTTTTCCCCGATCTATTTTCCATTTTAACTGGGCATTTAATTGTAAGAGAAGGACCCATTGCATAAGATATATAGTACCATATGATCTGACTAAAATGGATATTGGACCATTTCCAAATCCAAATAGGTGGTCCACTAAACGCGTGAACCTCATTTCCTATATGCACTCACTACTCAGATAAAAATAAAAACAACCCACGACGTACGTCTCTATTATTGGCTTGACGGTAGTGCAAAAATGGTTAAGCATTGCAGCTGAGGTGTTTAATAAATTTCTTTTTTCTTTTTCTACACAGGATTAAGTATTGCTGAGTTACACAAGAAAGCAAATGCTAGAGTTTTCTTTTGCAAGCTTTTATTATTAGTATATAGAAGCGCAGATAAGAAATACAAATTAATATATTAAGATGCATGGCTACACGGAAATATTAGGTTTATGATGAGAAGAGAGCTAGCTCCCTTTGGGAGGAATATCGGACTATCGGAGAATTAAAGAGAGAAGAAACAAGTGGGCCGGAGAAGGAGGAAAACCCACCTTTGGTATAATTTAATACAGATAGAAAAAGGATAAAAAGTAAGAACGATTGAAGTAATTAGTTCCGTTCCTGGAAAGCTAACCTTGCCAAGGTTTTTGATTCTGAATCGTCTGATCATATGGAGAAGAAGTCATGCAATGATCAAACCCCGCGATGTTGAGAATATCTCTATGAGAGAAGGCTCTAAGTCCCAAGAAATCTCTTGTCAAGCCATCATTCCCACCTGCTACACCTCCGCCATGGCTGCCACCACCTTCATTTCTGCCAATATGGGTTGTTGATGACGTTGTTTTCATTAGAGCTTCATTCAGATTTCCGTTTCTCTTGGAACTCAACATCCCAAAGGCATCTTGGAAGGAAGATCCATCAAATCCGGTTGTAGAAGAAAAAGAATTCATCATATCTTGAAGTAGAGAAGGACCTCCAGATCCTGCAGTCGCACATACGCTGTCAATAAGGCTAGAAGCAAAACCAGCTTTATTGGCAAAAGCATCCATGACATGAACAAATCCACTTTCCATCTCTTCACGTGAAGACAAACCAAGACCAAAACCAGTTGTAGTTGTAGGAACAGATTTAGTAGCGTTACCAGTATTAGCTGCAAGCATGTGAGCTTGGTGGGGTCTGAGCGTTGCTGACGATGAAGGTTTGCTCATCGTTGCACCCATTTGAGCTGCCTTTTGCAGTAATGCAGTTGCAGACATATGTGGGGATGCCAAAGGATGGTAAGGCGGAAGGGAAGGAGTAGGACTCGAATTAAAGTTTTCTTGGTGTGTTGAAGGTTGTGTCCGTGAGAATTCTTGATCCAACCTCGTAGAAAAGATTGATGAAGAGAGATCAATAGGTGGTGGACCCGGCCCAGCTCCTAGGACGACTGATGAACAAGCTAACCAAGGTGGTACTTCTGACCTTTGATTGAAATGCAGTTGTTGTTGCTGCTGCTCTCTTTTTAGGGAAAATGCCTGAAGATCATGGCTGTTAAATTGGGGTTGTAAGTTTATATGTGATGTTGAAGGGCCAGGCTGAGTCGAGAGCAGTGTGTTCGCTGCTCTTGCACTCTCTTCTGCTAAAGCATCACAGAAAGCTCTGTGAGTGATGAAACTATCCCTCCTGCAACCAAACAACAAACACAAAATACCAAAAAGAGCGAACCGTCACAAATGGCTAAAACAGTGTAAAAGCATTCTATCTCTGTTTTGTTCCCATCTCTTTCTATTCCCATGCTTTTTTTCTTGTCAATGGGTTAAACACAAAAGACCGCCATAGCAGATTTTACCATTGGAGCTCTCTCTCTCTCTCTCTCTCTCTCTCTCTCTCTCACGCGTGCGCGCACAGAACTGATAGCTTGATATGGGTAACTTAATCGACTGTGTTCTTAAATCTGGAATATCATTCCTTTTTTGTTCCTCTTTCTCTCTTATGATCATAATGAAGATTAACAAAACTCAGGTATAGTTCTTCAACTTCTTAGTCTTAATTAATAATGATGATCTGTGTTGGTTTCCTTGTTTCCATTCTTACCTTGAGAAAAGGGTTCCACAGTCACATCTATACTCTCTTGTGCCACAAGTCTTGGAGTGAGCTTTCCAATCCGATTGAACTGCGTAACGCTTTGAACACTTGTCACATTTCCACTTCTTCTCCCCATGCTTTCTGCAAAAGTGCTTCTTGATCCCTGTGAGGTCCCCAAGAGCCCTTGATGGGTCGTGGTGCACACATGAAGGTTCTGGGCACACATAAACTTTCTTTCTTACCTCTTTGCTTGTTCTTTGCTTGAGCTTCCATGGTAGATTATGCCCTCTCCTGTGAAGCTGTAGGTTCTGGTCTCTCTGAAATCCTTTGTTGCAAATCTCACAGACGAATCTATTTGTTGCCATGAGAGTCCTAGGAGATAAAGCTATTACTTCTGCATCCGGGTCTGGTCCCAGACCAAAGAAAGATGGAAAAACAATAGAAGGAATAAGCAAAAATATGAATATGGAGTTAATCAGTTAACTGAAAATAGTGCAAAAACATAAATGATCACAAAGAATTAATAGTCGTTAAATTAGGACCTGGATTGCCCGGAAGGTTTCTCTTTTTCTTCACCACTTGAGTTTGATTTGGTGAAGCAAAGGATTGTTGAGGGTATAAGGTGCCCGTTTCTGCTCTGTTGCCTGAAGAAACACTTGCTTCACCAGATGCAGAAGTCAAATTAGACATGTTCTCCTCCACGGCTGGATGTTGCTGGATTATCAAGCCCTTCATCATCTTCTCCCTGTATGTAATTAATTCGAGGGTTTCGTGGGTAACGATGACTGTAACTCTAAGGTTTCTTTATGATCCACAGATCTTTCTTGAATCACAAATATGTAGCATTTTCTTAGATCTAAAAGCAAGCCTGATCTTTGAAAAAGCTAACCAATAAAATGAAAGATAAAAGTAGGTAAAGGATGACTTTAAAATTTCAGATATTCTCCTTTAAAACCCATCTATCTTCCGTCGCTTGTTGATGCTTCCTTGTATACTTTTCTTGACAAGCAAGAGACAATAATTCTTTTCCAAGAAGAAGAAAAAGATGTGAAGAAAACAGTTGTAGGGAGCTAAGTAAAACTGCACCAGACCTTCAGGCAGCTCATCTTCTCCATGTCTTAACAGCGACCTTCCTTGTCAATACCAACAAGAGAGAGAGAGAGAGAGAGAGAGAGAGAGAGGATGTGGATGAGAAGGGAACCCTCTGCAATCCTCCACCCTCTCAAACACCATACCCCCCTCACACCCAAAACCACAACCCAACACAAACCAATAGGCTTATACTGACGTCCCACTTTCTGTCTTTTCTTTTGTTTCCTTCTCAAACCTTGAATAATCTCCTTTTTTTTTATCTTATATTCCACTTTTCTCAGTATATTTTTTAATCATTTTTTCTTTAATAATCACACCGCCTTTCCCTTCTCTTCAAAAGTAGAATAAAAGCAATCAACTAAAAAGATAGTATGATTTGCATAAAGAGGGGAGAGAGAAGTCTGGCTAATTTATATATATATGTGTATACATTTTCACATTATGGGCAGTAGAGTTAAAAGCAATCCTTCTCAGCTTTCTGCATTTACACCAACATGATTGGTTTTTTGATTGAACCCGGAAGACATCCTCATAGAAAACAGTTATTATCTTTCAATTTCGTTCTTTCTTTTCTTCATTTTATAGCTCCTTGTATTACTGTTACAAGATTATAACCATGACCATTCATAAAACTAGTTAAAAGTTAAAACCACCCTCACCGGATTATTTCGTAGAACTCAATTCATCATCAATTCAGCCCGATTTCTATGATCCAAAGTTAAGGCCAGCCCACCAAGTTTTTACACCTTGCAAGCTGATCTATCTCTTCTTGTAATTAGCTAGATAACGGGTCAAATTAATACGGCCATATAAACTAGAAAAACAGTTTATAATTGGAAGGGAAGGTTGCCAACTGAACTGATCGCCTGGACGAGCTAGAATAGGAAGACATTGAAACAAGCCCAACTTGTATAGTAGGGGTGATCTGCATATACATATTGTCCGCTCCGCCGACGTTAAATCACCTCAGCAGGTTGAACATAAGAGGACCACCTCCTGTAAAAGGTTAGCAATTAGCACTGCATTTCATGTACGACGTCCACCAAAATCTGAACCCAGCCAGCCTCTCAAGCTCAGTTTCTCGGCCTCTTCAACCTTCTTGTATCCCTTGTCCAGATCTTGTAACGATATTAATTTGAGAAAAAAAAAAAAAAGTGATGACCCATATAGTTCATCATCAGCTATGCACTGAGTTCCATAGCCAAGAGTCCTCTCACCTTAACGCTCACACTGATGAACTCCTATCATTTCTCATGCATACTTGTGATTATTCTTTCTGATAAAACCCTCTTATGTCTTAATTTTCATTGTTAAAATATATCATTATTCTTTCTGATAAAATTATTCATAAATCAATATCTATTCATAAATTCCTTTGAATAACCCCTTTTGGTTAAGTATAAATTAGATGGGTTGGGTCGGGTTAGGGTCCAATCCAAAACCAACCCTAAACATGGACCTTGTCCGGAACCAAATAGATGATGTCAAAATCCAAATTTATCCCCAGAAAACCTGATTTTTTAGGGGATTCTCCCTCCAAAGAACATTCATTATTTTAATTAGACAAGAAGCAAAGTTTTTATGCTTGAAAGGCATAAGTTTTAGGTTGTATTTGGTACCATTACCATTTGTTCATGAAAATATGAGTTGTCATATCACATAATCAAAAACATTAATTTTGGATTGATCAATACAAATTGCTATTATTACATGTCAAATTTGATGTTTCAACTCTAAAGGGCAATGGTCAGCCCCCTATGCATCAATTATTTAAGTTGAAATGACTTCTTATGTGATGTATTAACTCACATTTTCACTAATTTCTATTGATCAACCCCAGATATTTCAAGAAGAAACGGAAATAGTACCAAACACAACCTTAATTTATCACATTGTCATCAACATTTTTTTTTTTTTTGGCTGCAATTGTCATCAACATTTTTGAGCAGTTAAAACAGCCCTTTTAACAGAATTGGTACAATTCATCTTAATCCGCATGGTCATATACTGTGATTTACTAATATTATTATAAGCCTCCCCAGTCCCCACCCACAAATTAAAAAAAAAAAAAAAAAATCAGTTTAGACATTTAAATGGCTCAATGAGATCCGAATTCAAAAGTTGCATGGATGTAGTCAAATGGTTTACTCTTATAATTCCTGTTTATTACATAACATCTAAGACTTTTTTTTTGTCTAAATTAACAAAGAAAGGAAGGATCACAGAACAAACGAAGTTATGAAATAAATAAACAAATCTGAGTTGGTGTGGAGCTACACTGTCTTCCCGGTATTTATGTTTTCGATTAGTTTGTGTTCCCCTCACGAAACAATTAAAGAGTAAAAAATCAATTGTTTTTGTCATTTTCTTGTTTTATTCTTCCAAAATTTATTTTTCAAATGGTTTCTAGGTCTACCAATATGCGTTCCCAGCTCATCACAACATGTTTGATGATCATTAATTAATAGAATGTTGATAAAATAAATAAAATAAGAAAAGGTGTAGATTACATATTGTTAATTTATTCAAACAAAAGGTACCCCACGTAATATTCCTCCTTGTACCCTTTATAGATCCTATTATTTTTCGTTTAGCCCCCCCAAAATTTTTACTTAGTCTTGACCTATGTTCTTTCTTTCCGGTTCGTTGTGGGAAAGAGATTTCACATTTCAGCAATTAGAGAAGGGACGAATCATTCTCGATATTCTGATAATTGTCCTTTACCTCTAATACTGTCAAATGTTAATTCTATGCATACCTTGACCTTGGTATTCAGTCATTCAAATAGGACCATTAATTGTATTCATCTTGATTCTTGAGCAGAAAAATTCCTCTTCACTATTCTATTCATTCATTCATTTATTTATGGAACGAGGGAATGATTCAATGGGGTAATCTCACGTGAGTCAACATCGATTTTAAGCATTGGACAAGTGGGTCCTACCATCGCTTACAATCTGATCTTCAGAGTGCCATTTGCTATCTGGAGGCTATGTTATATACCCTAGTCTTAGGAGGACGTTCCGAAGCTGTGACTCTTTAGGCTCAGTTTGGAAGGAGTATAAATACAAATATACAAATATGCATAGCATACAAAATACAAGGTTTTGTACTCTACAAATTTATATTTGTATTCCTTTCAAACATAGCCTTAAGTGCTGAAATTAATTGTTGAGGCTGATGCCATGCCAATTCCCGATAATTGCCCTGCAGCCTAAGGTGAACTTAGAAGCTTTCAGCCTCCTCTCCAACAATTGTTAGTTAGTAAAAGGTGACCCTGGAACTGGAAGGAAAAGAGATTGAAATATATTGCTGATGCTAAAATGTTTTCAGAACAGAAAATTGAGGGAAAAGATGGATTAGTGGTGTTATTTTAATACAACAATGGAAAAAAATAAAATAAAATATGTTTCAAAATGGTTCTGTTATTAGGAAAAAATATATCAATTTCCTAGTATGAAATTGTTAGTAATGGAAGAAAAACACTATCCAAAAGTCAAGTTAAAACTTAAAAGGTGGTTAATTAAGTGACTTCTGCCCTTTTTGTTTTTGAAAGTAAATCATGTGTTGGATGAGATAATCTATTAAGATTATGACCCCATTGCCATTCTCAAGTTTGTTTTACAGATTTTTTGGAGATATCCAAATCTAGCTGCATTTATGTTCATGTAGATGGGTTCAAAACAAAGTTTTGTCTATAAAATGGCTACAAATTTATAACTCTAATTTTACACATTGGTATATTTTCTGCCTCTTTTATGATAAAACATTAAAATTATTGCTCATACTCTGCACATAGACCAGGATTGATCAGTACTCAACCCACAATGAGTCCCAATACTGGGTTTTAGAATCACTATTTCTCTCTGCATTAATAACCACACTAGTGGCTTCCTCCACCTGTTTCTGCCACAAAGAACTGATCCTGTGGCCTATCCAGATTGCCCACAATCCACATAGAGACCCATTGGGTTGGTTATGTGTTCAATCACAAAGTCCATATCAGTCATATGCCCCACTTTGTACTAATATAAAGCATGCCCTATAAATTAGGGCTTATTATGCAAACATGAAAAGGTCTTTTAGGTCAAAAAAGTTCCCCTTGAAAGGAGGGTCGGTAGAGGCCTTTGGAAACACCTTTTAAGCCCAAATTACTTTGTCATGTAGAAGATTCTCGAGTTGGTTAGAGAAGCTCACTAAACAAGCAATCCGAAAACTTAATTCAATAATATTTATTTAGATTTGTATTGATCTAGCTTCTCATCTCAACTTAGCTCAGCCTTAAATCTCAACTATTGGGGATTGACTGTATGAACCCTATCCCATCATTATGTTTTATATTTATCAAAAACCATGCTTTCTGGCCAATTATAAATCTTTAAATCATTTTTATTACTTCTATCAACGTAACTTAGATAGTTAGATATACAATATTGGGCATAAAATTTACTCTCTTTTAATCTAATTCCACTAAATATGCAATAAAAATACCAACTTTTAAATTCCAATTATTTCTGCAGAATGATATTAGGATTTCAAAAAATATATATAGAAAAGGGGTGCCAAGGCGTCTCATTACACGTGTGTAAATAATTGTACATATATATGAAAATACTTACATAATTGCACATTTGTCAAACTGAACAAAAGTGGAGGAATAAAGTTGCAGTGGATCAGATTTATGCTATTTAAGGAATGCATAACATTCTTGTCCCAAATTGAAATTAAATTTTTTAAAATAATATTTTTGTCCCATTATTTTTTCACGTTGATTTTCTTTGAAATTGGAATGAATCAACAGCCTGGATGATTGGACAGGTTGACCCCACCTAGTAGCATCATTGGAGAAAATATCTCATATATGGGAGACCGGATCTGCTCCTCATAGAGGGCTCCTCACACGTATATCTTATCATGTATTATTGGAAACATCTCCTATACTTTTAAGTTATTATTCACGAGAAATGTTACTAATGCACGGTGGATGTGCATGTGAGGTGCCGAAGTGTGAGGAACAGATCCTGTCCCCATATATGGTAGGTCCCATTTTTATGATGAGATGTATGAACACAAAACATATTGAAAGAGTGTTGAAATGATTTCATATAAACCTAAAAACATAAAAATTCGGATTTCCGTAGATTTTATTTTTTCCACACTTCAAAGCAAAGAAAAGAATATGCTAAAGGAAGTCTTCTTTTTTTTTTTTTGAAT